AACAATGTCATCCATGCAGGCCTCCCCTAACACAGTTCAGGCCTCATGGGGTCTCAGTTCCCTTTTCTTCTTTCAGGAAGCTCTCCTGTACGTGCATGGGTTGACCAGATGTCCCAAGGTGCTCTAGGACTCATGCTTATGAAGCTGTTTTAGGGCCTCCTAGTCAGTCCCTGGTTCCAGGAAAGCAGCCTGATGAGCAGATCATTCCTGCTGGCTGGCGTGGCATTTCTTTTATGGCACTACCTGGGATTGGGCCATCAGACCAGAGCTAACATTCTGATTTAAGTGACTCTTAACAATCCACCAAAGGACAAAGAATCGTCATGTGAACCAGTTAGACAATAAACAAATGCTTAAGTACCTCTTCTCTGTCATTATTCTAAATCTACACAGATAAATCATTGTACCTCACATGGGATTCACCTGAGAGAAGAATCCTGATCCTTAAAAAAAAGAACGAGGCAATTTCTGAACAAAATTAATGACAGGTGTGTCTGTTTGTCTGTTTCAAGGCTTTACCTTGAATCACCCTTCAGCTTTCCCTGGCCTGTCTGCTGGTCACAGCACGAGCTGGCCCACCTCTGAGATCATACTTTCTGGTCACAAGGGCAGACAAAGACCCACACAAACCCGCATCACTGCCACCTCCACATAGGATGCTGTGGGGAGACTCCAGGAACCCAGGCTCCTCCATCCAAAGCTTGTGACTCCAGCCACGTGGTGCAAACTATTTGGGGGGCATGGTTAGGGAGGTGGCATCTAAAACCAGGGCTTTCTCTATCCCCACTTGCCCTTTCTACTACAAGGCATGCACCTGGAGCAGGTGGGCCTTATCCTCTGTGTTCTGGTTTGGAAAGTGTCTTTTATCACCCGTATGGATATGTGTCTATTGAGGGGCTCCATAGTGAATACCTATGTTGGATGGCGGGATGGCAGCCTGTCCTCTCCTTATCTTGGGGCTCATTCAAATGGAAAGAGACTCTTGCCCAGCTGCTCTGTTGACTCTGCATTCTCTGCCCATTGTACACTGAATCGATTGGGCAGATGTTGGGGGGAGGTGTTGTTTTTCTTCTTTTTTCCCAATCTCCTTATTAGTTCAGCCTCAGAAAGTCCCTTATCACCTCCGGATGTCAGGCCACACTCTGCCATCAGGCCTGGCCATGTCAGACTCTCCATTAATTGATTTTGCCCTCCCCCTTGGGAAGCATAAATTGGCTTTGCTCATTAGCAGCAATAATTCCCTGAAAGAGATTGTAAATTATGCCTTGTGTCCACCCAGAGCTCACAGCAGAGTGGTGCCCACGTAGGGAGATGTTGGACTGGGAGGTCTCCGCAGCCCTACAGCTTTTCTCCTCAGCTTGACCAAGTGCTGACCTCACAAGACCACAGTGGACTAGGAAGAGCAGCTGAAACGGGACCCGGCACAGGGAGGGTGCTCAGTCAGTATGTGAAGAACGAGTCAAGGCAGGACGCAAGGGAGGCAGGATGGGGACTTCCTCTCTGGTGCAGAGAGCTTTGTGGGCCTCTTGAGCTGAGCTCTCCCCCAGAGTCCACCATGACGTTGCCCTTTCTGTGTCTTTTGTGGCCCTGGGGTTTTCAGAAGTCCCCCTTAAACAGAAAATGCTTCTGAGAAAGACTCTATCCTACACCCCAGCCAGGTGATGTCTTCTTGGGCTCTGGCTTGTTTGTGAAAAACTGATGTAAGAGGGAGATGTGAAGGTGTGACCAGAAGAGAGTAGAGAGGCACAGTAAAGAGAAAGAGCCAGGAAAGGCAGGAGGAAGCTGTTCTGGCTGACTTTGCCAGAACATGGTAGATTCTCAACAGATAGTCCCAGCATACAATAGGTTCCCAACAGATAGATAGTCCCAGCACACAGTAGGTTCCCAACAGATAATTCGTAAATGAATGGAGTGTCAGCCCACAGGTGCCCAGTACCTGAGGGAGGGAGGGCACCCTGATGGCTGATTTAGCCCTCTCTCTACCCCAGCCCATCTTAGATGTCCCTACGGCCCACTGTGTTCATCCTCTTCTTCTATGCAGATAGTCCGTTCTCTTGTCCTTCATTTCTGTCCGTCTTAAAACAATCATCATTACTTGTGGGCTGTGTCCAGACTGATCAAAGACACTCAGTGCTACAGAGCTGCTCAGTCCTGCCTGAGACCCTGCAGACATCCATGGATGAGCTTTCTAAATGATACACGACAGAGCTCTCCATGTATTGAGCTTCTCCAGGGCAATCAAATAGGGTTTGACTCTCACACTGCCTTTCAGATATAATTCTAACTCTTGCCTAAGGCAGGAGCTGGTGCACCTGTGGTAGAGAGGAGTACCAGCACTCTGTTGCCCCATCTGATTCCAGATGCTTTCTTCTCCCTCCAAGATAAGCCCATATCCCAACAAGGTGCTGTCTGAGAAAGCTCCAGGACCAGCTGAGGTGGGGTTTGCACAGAACCACTTCAGAGACCCCCAGATGGCCTCAGAGGAATCCAGAAGCAGCAGAATTCCAGAGAAGATGGGCTCCATCACAGCACCCACAGACAGGGCCATGCCTAAGTGCCTAAGCCACAGGGCAGACGAAAGGCTGCAGGCTTGTCACTGCGTCGGGACGTTCTTAATGAACAGCCCATCCAGCGTGGGCTCTACCTCCCCTCACTGCGATTTGTTGTTTGGTTTTGTTTGGTTTTTAGCAGAACCCTGTGCTACTATCAGTCTCTTGATCATCCACATACCTGAAAATAATAAATTTCTCCCCCTTGTTTTATCTTCTGCAAGGTCTCTCTCTCCCTCTCTCTCTCTCTCTCTCTCTGTCTCTCTCTCTCTCTCTCTCTCTTTTGTTCTCTCCTCCTTATTACAAAAACAATTGTGGCTTGTCCTGGACAGACAGGCCACTGTATCTGCCACAGCAGATACGATGGTGGCTACACGTGTGATGCCCCCATCCCCCAGGCTGGGGCAGGTCAGCTGAGGGAGGCACTTCACCCAAGGACAGGCCATCCTCAGCCCACCAGACACCTCTAGAGTAGCCACCATGAAAAGGCACTCCTGGGCACTTAGCCTCTCCATAAAGGATTTAAGTCAAGAAATACCAAGAGAAAGAAGCAGAGGACAACGGAGCAGATCTGACTGGATGCCAGGAGGGGAGCCCCAAGGCAGAGAAACGGCAGACAGGAAGCACCTGGGGTGAGTGGCGAGCGGTCGGGCCAGGCTGCCAGTAAAAAGGTAGAAGGGTCCGGAACCCTGGCTGCTCCCCAGTTCCTACAACACAGTCTAATTACCGGAAATACCCGGAGTGTGTTCTGATGCCTTCAAACCCAAATAGTTGGAACTTGAATAGTTTTTGAGAAAGAACTCAGGCGGGGCTCAGTGTCTTATGTCTGTAATCCCAGCACTTTGGGAAGCTGAGGCGGGTAGATCGTCTGAGCTCAGGAGTTCAAGACCACCCTGGGAAACATGGCGAAACCCTGTCTCTACTTAAATACAAAAAATTATCCAGGTGTGGTGGTGCATGCCTGTAATCCCAGCTACTAGGGAGGCTGAGGCAGGAGAATTGCTTGAGCCCGGGGAGGCGGAGGTCGCAGTGAGTTGAGATTGCACCACTGCCCTCCAGCCTGGGTGGCAGAGTAAGATTCCATCTCAAAAAATAAAAATTAAAAAAAAAATTCACAATAACAATTGGGAAGTAACAGAATACCTAATAATGGCTGAAACAAATAAGGTTTATGTTTCTAACATAAAAAGATCTCTAGAGAGAGGTGTGCCAGGGAACTGGTCCAGTGTCTTTGCAGTGCCCATGACCTCACCCTCAGGGACACAAGATGGCTCAGCAGGTCCAGACAGAAAGAGGGAGAAATGTGGGGCCAGCTGCAGATGAACCCGTCATCAAGAAACAACAATTTTACCTGAACCTCCATAGCCCACTCTGCCCACTCTGCCCAATCATGGCTGGACCTGGGTCATGCAGCCACCCCCAACTGCAAGGGAGCCTGGGAAAGAGGGTGCAGGGGACACATTGACCTCAGGTCTCCTCCCCAGGCTTTGATGTGTCTTTCTTCCAGTGGCCTAGCTTGCACCTGGGGCTCTCCTTTGGTGGACTCTCCACAGCCTCCTGGAGCCATCTTGCCTGAGAAATGCACAAATGACTGACTAAAGTGGGGATATGAAAGCCAGCTCCCCTGCTGGGACTCGCTGGGGTATGCTTCACCTGCCAGAGCTCTCAGGAACCAGGCTGAGGCTGGGACTGCGGTGCCTTGTTGGGCTTTCTCCTCGCCCTGACCCTCTTGCCCCATTGTCTGATGGGTCTGCCCTGACTTCGCTGCTCCCAGGGGCTGAAACAGAGGGGAGGAAGATTAGCACGATGACTTACACCAATTATGCTCCATTGCCTGGGGTTGACACTTACAAAGCCGGGGTTCTGCTAGCTGGGAAGGAGGGAAAGGATACTCAGCAAGCAACTAATAATGTCTGCAGCCACAGCTCATTAAAGGAAACAGCAGAACACGCAGCAGAGAAGTCGGAATCCTCACCCTGTGATAGTGGGAATATAAAATGATTCAGCCACTTTGGAAAATAGGCTGGCAGTTCCTCAAAAAAGTCAACACAGAGTGGCCAGATAGTACAGAAATTCCACTCCTAGGTATGTACCTATGAGTAATGCAAACATGTACACAAAAAAAACTCACACACAGAGGTTCATAGCTGCTTTATTCATAATAGAAGAAAACAGAGACAACCCAAATGTCCATCAACTGGAAATCAAATGGATAAACAAATGTGTTAAAGCCACACACAATGAAATATTATGCAGCCAGAAAGAAGGATGAAGTATCGTTGTATGTTGCAACAAGGCTGAATCTTGAAGACTCTGTGAATATACTAAAAACCATTGAATTGCACACTTTAAATGTGTGGATGATACGGCATGTGAAATATGTCTCAATAAAGCTGCTATATACATGTATGTGAACAAGCACGTGCACACACACACATGAAAAGAGAAAGGAAAGCATCCTCAATTCCACCCACTCAGAGCTGCTGTTACCATCCTAGGATCAGGATATACTTTAAGTTTCTTTTCAATTCACATGGATATTTCACCGACATATCCTCTGAAGGTAACCCACTAGAGAGCTTCATTCAAGACAAATTAGCAAAAGCTATAAAGCCATTGTGTCCAATTTATCAGCAGAATCTACCCTGATACTCTTACCATCAGGCTGAGCGAGACAATCAGCTATTTACTTTGCCCTGATTTGTCACTCAGTTTACTCATCCTGAGGTTCCCCCAATAGGCAGGTCAATTCTCCTGCCCCATTTTGTAGCCAAGGCAACTGAGTAGAAGGTTTATTCACACCCATTCGGATCTCTTCCCAGCTCCTAAGCTGGGGGCTTGCAGCCTTCAAGGGTGAAGACACTGGCGGCTGCCAAGAGAGCCCACTGGGGCCTGTACAGAGTGAGCACACCTATCCGATTTAGCCCAGAAACATCCATCCAACTTGAAGCCAGACGGAGAGACATGAAGCACTCAGGAAGACCTGGTAGGTCTCTTTGAAGGGTCCATGATACTGACTTCCATGGAAACAAAGGCCGGGTGGGGGTGGCCGGCCTGTTTGCGCTCACAGCACAGCACTTAGTGCAGCCAAGCTGAGCCGCACTGTTCAAACAGTCTTCCCCAGCCTCCAGACACCTGTGCCGAGGAGGAGGGCAGGGCACGGCAGGCAGGGCACAGGTCCCCGGGTGCTTTCTCCTCACCTGTTTCCCGCCTCTTCCCCTTAGCCAGCCCCACGGCCCTGGCAGGGTCCTGGCCACACCATGCCCGGTGCTGGGCTCTGCAGCTGCTGGGGTGGCCGGGTGCTGCCCCTGCTGTTGGCCTATGTCTGCTATCTGCTGCTTGGTGCCACCATCTTCCAGCTGCTGGAGAAGCAGGCGGAAGCTCAGTCCAGGAACGAGTTTCAGCTGGAGAAGCTGCGCTTCCTGGAGAACTACACCTGCCTGGACCAGTGGGCCCTGGAGCAGTTTGTGCAGGTGAAGGGGAGCGATGTGGGATTGGGATGGAGAGGCCTGAGAAGGCTGGTGGAATGGGGGTTCCTGTGGCAGATCCAGAGTCCTCACCCAGGGGCGGATGCCCCGTTTGGAAACAGCATGTGGTGGGAACAGAGAGCCTGATGAGATCTAGTCCTGGATTCTGGCCCCAGGTCTACCTTGAACAGGTCACTTAACCTCTCTAGACCCAAATGCCCTCATCTATAAGGCAAAGAGAATTACCATATCTAAACTGCAGACATTTGACAGCAGATTAAAAGCCCTCTCTAAGCTGTCACTTGCCGGATGAATGGGAACCAGATGTCAGTTTTATCAACGCTGTGCAAATTTCCTTCTCCCACACTCTCACACTTCCCCTTCCCCAACTCCAGGACTGCAGCTCCTTCTGCTCTCTCCCCAGCTGCAGGTGGGAGACACAGATAAACGCCAGGAGCAGCCACCAAGCTGGCCTTTCCTGGCCTGTTTGTACCTGGAGCTGGGTTTGGGGGGCAATGGCCAAGGTGACTGAGATTGCCAACATGGCACCCAAAGAGGGCCCTCTCTTGGTAACAGAGTGGGTCACCCTCTGCCTGGGTCCTCTCTGCTTCTCTCTTTCCCAGAAATAAGGCAAAACCAGGTGTTGTGGGGGGGAGGTGAATGCATCTGAAACAGGCGCTGGAGCTACAGCCCCTGCAAAGGAATAGATCAAATGCAGAATCACTTTATCAATTATCTATTATCTATTGATAATTGGTATTTACTGAGCATTTACAATGTGCCTAAACCAGTGGGGAGCAGGGTCATCATGGCCAGCTTCATCCAATCATGATTCACTCACCTAACACTGAGCGTGTTACCGGTGTCTTCTCATAATTACCTATTACAATCCCTATCTCCCAGGAACTGAGGCAGAATACATTGGCCAAGGCTACACAGCCACTGGTAGAGACAGCACTCACTCCCAGGCCTCTGGCGCTGGAGCCCTGGGTCTTCACCACACGAATTAGCACAAGTGCTGGGGCCAGGATGCAGCCTAGAGCAGTAGTTCTCAAAGTGTAGCCCCAGGATCAGAATCAGCATCACCTGAGAGCCTGTTAGAAACGCAGGTATCAGGCCCCACGCCACACCTGCTGACTCAGGAACTCCAGGATGGGTCCCACAGGCTGGGTGTCAACAAGCCCTCCAGGCGATGTTGGGGCCCCTCGGGACGGAGAACAGCCAGCCTAGAAGATGATGCAAGGGCTGGGTGGTCACAGAGAACTTTCTGGAGCTGTGAGAGACCAGGAAATGAGGTCTCCAGCTTCAGGTTTTCCTCTCTTCTCCCTGATGGATAGGGTTAGTCAAAGTTAGGGGTCCATAGTACCTCTTCGGGGTTGAGAACAGTTTAGGAGTCCCCAAAACCCTGGGAATGAGGCAGAGGCCCTGGAGAAGCTGAAACGTCCTCCTCCCTCTGCTCTGCATTGGAGGTGAAAGCCAAGCTGAAGGGCATGGGAAGGGTTGGTAGCTGTGACCTGGACTTGCTCTGTAAACCAAGAAGAAGGGAGGCTATCTGCTTGGTTGCAGCCCTGAGGGGGTTGCCACTGAGTAACCCCAGGGACCTCCCCAGGGAAGACAGACATCCCTTTCCCTGAGAGTCCTCAGCCTCGGGAGAGACCCTTCCTTGCCAGGGGCAGTTCAGCCGGGCAGCAGCAGGATGCTGGGGTGAGATTCTGGAAGAACACACATTCCTGTTGAACTCCCTCACACACAGGGCGTAACTAGTATTAGAAGCAGTATTAAAAATTGCCTCCATGGGAAAACACTGCTTGCCCAAGTTCACAGAACTGGGAAGGCGGGACCCGCTGCTGCCTGCATCCACGCACGGGCACTCGGCAGCCTCAGCCAGATGAGGGGCTGCAGGCCTGGCGGGGTGGGTAGGGGGTGGGAGATGGTCCAGGACTAGAGTACTTGCCCCCAAAAGTGAGGGTCTCCAGAGAGAGAGCCTGTTCAGGAACGTTGGGCCCTGGCCACTTTGTGGGTGTGGGAAAGAGAGGGAGGCCAAAGTCCACATCTTAAGAGGCCGTTCCCATCAAAGTGAGGAGAAGCAGACAGCCTGTGACCGCGGATGCCCTGACTGGCTTGGTCCACCAGGGTCATCCCAGCCCTGATCCCAGCACCCCCACACAGCCAGCGGGAGCCTGTTCCCATAGGAGTGGGAAGCCAGAGCTGTTGTGTCCCTGGCTTCCTCCTGCCTTTGGGGCTCTAACAGGTGGCAAGGCTGTGCTGCTGCCCTGGGACAGGATTGGTGGGAGGTGAGGAGAGAGCCCTACCCATTTGCCAAGGGGGCTGGGTCCAGGGACTAGAGGTTGTTGGGGGTGGGGCAGTCGAGGGGGAGGTGTAGGCTTGAGCCTGCAAAGGTTTGGGTTCTGTAAAAACACATGTAACACACATACACTAAACATGCACACACGTACAACACACACACACACACAAACATGCACACACGTGCAACACACATACCCATAAACATGCACACACGTGCAACACACATACACATAAACATGCACACACGTGCAACACACATATACACATAGACATGTACGCATGTGCAACACACAGTTGCCAAGCACAACACATGCATACAACACATCACACATAAACACCAACCACCACACACACACACACACACACACCACATGCATACAACACATCACATATAAACACCAACCACCCCACACACACACACACACACACACACACACACACACTCACACACACCACTTTTGTCCTGGCCTCTGTTGGAATTTCTCCCACAGGCAAGGGCTGGGGCTCACTGGAAAGCAGCAAAGAGCAAGGGGGCCCACTCACCTGGACACTTAGGGAACACAGGGTTCTCTGTCCCACCGTTAGCTTCATGGCAGGCAGCCCACGGCTTCCCTGTGGTCCTGAAACTCTATGTTCCCCAGCAATGCCTTCCAGACACATCCAGCCTGAAATCCTCCCATTGTTCTAACAACCGATATTCATGCCATCCTTTTGGCCACCAGCAGCATCTCCCACGGGACCCCCTCCCTGAGCCTCCTCTACCTTACCCCTCAGGCCCATCTCCCGCCCCAGCCCGTGCTTGCAGCCCACACCTCAGTCTGCCCTGGCCAGTGGAACACACATTGGAGGTGGAGTCCAGTGACCTTGCACAGGCCCCTTAGCCACTCTGAGCCTTCCTTTTCCATGAAATGAGAACAATACTATCTAAGAGTATCATTAGATGAGATGACACAAAAGCACCCGGCCAAGAGCGTGGCACCAACTGGTGCCCCGTAACCATCAGCTCCTTCTTCCCCCCCTCCCCACCCCATGTCACCTCCCCACAGGTCATCATGGAAGCCTGGGTGAAAGGTGTGAACCCCAAAGGCAACTCCACCAACCCCAGCAACTGGGACTTTGGCAGCAGTTTCTTCTTTGCAGGCACAGTGGTCACCACCATAGGTAAAGGGCTGGGGTAGAGAAGAGCTTCCCTAAGCCCCTGTCTTAGTTTGGGATCCCTAAATGCAGATGCTGAGACAAGGATATGGTTTGTCTAGGAGATGATTCAGGAAGCCCAGGGAGGGAGTGGGTAAGTGAAACAGTAGGGAGAGGAAGGCAACGAAATTTGCATTAATGAGCAGATTACTGGCTTAGGTGACTGGGCTCACTTCTGCTTGGGACCTTCTGAGATGCTAGATAGAGCCCATCCTCAGAACAGTCCCAACGAGGGACAAGAATGAGAGGCCGTTTAGCTACCAACCCCTGCCCTCAGAGGTTGAGATCTGGTCCGGACTGTATTCGTTCCCCAGTATTTTGAACCTTCCCATAGACCATGCACACTCCTTCGACCACAAGAATCTCTCAGGTAGAGAGATGTGCAGGAGCTGGGAACTGGGGGTGATTTGTTTACAGCCACTGTCCACCAAAGCTGCAGGTAGTATCCTGTGTGTTCCAAGGGAACAGGGCAATGAGAGCAGCTGCTATACCCCCTCGGCCAGAAAACTCACTCCATCCCATCCCAAGGAAACTGTCAGACCCAGGTCTGCCCCCATCCATTCATTGAAGTGCAATTCCACATACTTTCCTTGAAGTCAGGTGACATTCCAGGCAGAGTGACGGAGTTGGGGGTGGGAAATACAAATTTGGATCAGATCCAGGCTCAGCCCTCAAGGAACTTCCAGTCCAACAAAGAGGAACACACTAAGTACACACACAAACCAATAATAGAAGACAATGTCAATAATTACATAGCAATGACATTAAACACTGTGGGGAACCACACCCAGTAGGGAGAAGGAGAGTGGCAGAAAGGAGGGCTTCATGGAGGCAGTCATTTGAGATGGGCCTTCAAAAAGGAGCAGGAGTCCTATAAATAAAAATATTCCAGCAGAGTTCATGGGAACAGGGGAGCTTCTCCTTCTCACCCCAAGAGGTGGTGGCGGACAAACATTGGCCAGAGTCTGGGGAGGAGGACCAGAGGGCGCTCGGGAGTCTCCCTTTCTCCATATTTGCACACGCTCCCTCCCCTTGCAGGATATGGGAACCTGGCACCCAGCACAGAGGCAGGTCAGGTCTTCTGTGTCTTCTATGCCCTCCTGGGCATCCCGCTCAATGTGATCTTCCTCAACCACCTGGGCACAGGGCTGCGTGCCCACCTGGCCACCATTGAGAGATGGGAGGACCAGCCCAGGCGCTCCCAGGTATGCCCCCTAATTCCCTTATGGGCCTGCTATGACAGAGCTGTTGCAAGTGGAGTCCTCCAGAAGCCAATGCTGAGATGGAGTTTGGCATGCATGGTGTTAGGGGTAGATGCCTGTGAAAAAGGAAGGGTGAAGGCCAGGTTGGGCAGAGCGGTGAGTTGGATTTCTGTGCATGCTCTACAAAGGCTTGGCCTCAGGGAGCTCTGCAGCATGTGCGAGCTGTCAGAGTTGTCCCACAGTGGGCCAAACCAGCCAGGCTTTCATACCTGCCTCAATCAGGCACTGGGTGTGGCCTTCCTAGGAAGGGTGTGCCCCTGGACCAGGAGGTTCTCTGCAGCTGAGCACCCTGGAGGAGCTGGCAGCTGGCCCACAGCCCTCCTTTGAGTGGGGGATCTCAGCAGCACATCTCCAAGGACATCACAGAACTCTGACATCCTTTTGTGCAGTAGCAAACAAGGTCTGCAGGCCGCCCAGTGGGCCCCCAGTGCCCACCCTTGGCCAGCTGCTTGCAAGGGCAGAGGCATGCAGACTGTTCAATGATACTTTTCTGACCCAGATCTGAGTCCCCAGGGAGCCTGTTCATGTGTGATCCCGAAGCCCAAAGGGTCTCCAAGTTGCTCCTTGACCCACTAATGCAATCCCTCTGCCCAAATCTTTCCCTGGATGGGACTAGGTCATGCACACATAGATACAACCCCCACCTCAAGAGTCTGCAGCGCAGGGAAGGGGCCTAGCTATGGCCCAGTCCCATTCCCATGTTTACCCCAGACTCCCCACAACCTCATACGATCCTGGAGCCTTTCAAGTGGACTCAGGGGCCGACTCCCTCCCTCCCAGCTACTGCGAGTCCTGGGCCTGGCTCTGTTCCTGACCCTGGGGACGCTGGTCATTCTCATCTTCCCCCCCATGGTCTTCAGCCGTGTGGAGGGCTGGAGCTTCAGCGAGGGCTTCTACTTTGCTTTCATCACTCTCAGCACCATCGGCTTCGGGGACTATGTTGTTGGTGAGAACAAGACAGTCACATATATCGGGGGGCAGGGGCACGGGATTTGGGGGATGGAGAGATGTCAGCTGAGGACAACTATTGAGGATAAGATAGCTCCTCGTCATTCAAAGAAGCCAAACCAGTGATTTCTGGGACTACTGTGGATTCTAAGCAACATCCTCAGAAGTCTCTGGTCTAGGACCCACACCACCCCCGAGACCTACCTCCACTGATTATCCTTGTTATGAGGAAGAGGGAGAGGGCATTCTGGTTGGTGAGGGTCCCTATGGAAACTGGAGGTGGCTGTGTCCTGAGACCCCTGGCATTGATGCCATTCTGTTCCCTGACAGGCACAGACCCCAGCAAGAATTATATCTCAGTGTACCGGAGCCTGGCAGCCATCTGGATTCTCCTGGGCCTGGCGTGGCTGGCGCTGATCCTCCCACTAGTTCCCCTGCTTCTGCGCAGGTGCTGCCAGCTCTGGCTGCTCAGTAGGGGCCTCGGCGTCAAGGACGGGGCAGCCCCTGACCCCAGTGGACTCCCCAGACCTCAGAAGATCCCTATTTCTTCATGAGGCTCCCAGGTGGCCCCAGAAACCCCTTACATCCTCCCCAGTCCCACCTTACCTGCTCTCTGGATTTCCAGGTCTGTCTCCTCCTCTTCTAACCCCCTCACTTCTCAGCCAGGACTGGTTACAGGAGCTCTCCCAAGAGATAACGGAAAAGGTATGCCCAAGAAAAGAACAGAGAGGAGATGTGAGATAGGATTAAAAACATGTGCGGATAGGGAGGTGTACCCTTGTCCCAGAGCCCCTGCCACAGCCTTCCACGAAAAGGTAGCTTGGAAGAGTGGCCAGATCTCCACTGCCCTCCCCTTCCAGGAGACCTTACACAAACAAAAGATGACTTCACTTTTGCCTCATTTGATACCTGTACAGTGCATTTGCCAAGTCCCTACTATGTGCCAGGTGCTGTGCCAGGGTCTGGGGATACAGCAGTGGAAGTGCCTGCCCTTGATGTGCCTTTAGGTGCTAGACAAGCAAAGAGGTGGCCCCAACACAGTACCCAAAATGCTATGATGGGAGCAGCCCCACAGTTGATGAGAGCACTTGGAATCGGCTGGCACTCAAAGTTCTCCAGCTTTCCTTGCCTAGAGGTCCAGGGCTGTCCTTGAACAAGGCTTAGGACCTCTTGGGTGTCCCACCCACTTTCCCAGATATGGCCTCCCCTGACCCTCACAGGCCACCCGCTTAACTTCATCCCTCCCTCTGGACTCCTGCCTTCTCAAGGACCTTTGCCAACAACCCCTGGGAAGCCAGAGAGCCAGCAGAGACCAGGATCCTTCCAGAAAGTGAGCTCAGTGAACATCTGGCCTCTCTCAGGAATGCATCCTCCAGGTCTGGTCTTTCCCCTGCCAGATTGCAACGTCCCTGACCAAAAGGAGAGATTTGACCAATCCATCCCGAGGCCTGGAAACTTAGGCCTCTGCCTTTCCCACCACCCAACAGTAAGTGGGCTCCTACATGGCTGGGTTCCTCTGCACAGGACTGAGACAAGGCTGTGGAGGCAAGGCTGTGGAGCCAAGGAGGCTCCAGGCAGGAGACCCAGGGGAGGATCTACAGCAGCAAGAGGAGTCCAAGTCACACCCCAGGACTTCGCCACATCCAAGAGAGGACTGGGAAGCTGAGGACGCATGGACTCTTCACACAGCCTGGACCTTCCTCCACTCTGGGTAGAGGGGTTTTGGGGGCCTTCTCAGAAGCAAGGAGTGGACAAGCCTCTTGGTCAAGGCTCCTCTTGCCTCCCAAGCTCATGGACAAGTGGCAATCAGCTGGGGCCCCTCTTTTTGGGTGCAAAGGAAAGTACAGAGGTGTGGGAGACCCAAGGAGGTCTTGAGATTGGCAGACAGCAAGTCCTTGGAGATAGCACCCAGTCCCAGAACTTAGGCAGGGGCCCCAAGACAATAAAGTTGGTCTCTACTATCTCTTCCTCTGAGTGCAGTTTCCAGGAGTCCCTCCCCCGGTTCATTTCAGGAAATGTTAGGGGCTCCAGGCTACTTCCGTCAACGCCTGCGGTCACCCAGCAGCTTTCTCCTTCTTCCTGGCCTAAACCTAGTAGGTGGGCACTGCGCACACATTTGAGGCGGGGCCAGATGTCCACAGTTCAGAGCCTCTTTTTGTCCCTGGGATTGGATCCCAAGGCTGGGTGGGGCCAGGCTGTCCCATTCCCCAGCACTCCTCCTCCCCAGGCACCCGCAGGCGTTTGCGAGAGGAGATACGAGCTGGGCTCCTGGCCCTTTCCTTCCCCGGGTCCTTGTCCACCGCTCCAGGCTCCAGCTCCCCGCCTCTCCCACTATGTACCGACAGCGAGCCCGGACGGCTCCCAAGGGCAGGGCCCAGGGCTGCGGCTGCGTGATGTCCAGCACCGTGCTCCTGCTGCTCGCCTACCTGGCTTACCTGGCGCTGGGTACCAGCGTGTTCTGGACGCTGGAGGGCCGCGCGGCGCAGGACTCCAGCCGCAGTTTCCAGCGCGACAAGTGGGCTCTGTTGGAGAACTTCACGTGTCTGGACCGCCCAGCGCTGGACTCGCTGATCCGGGTCAGGGACAAGCAGGGTCGGCCCGGGCGCGGAGGGATGGGGTAGGGGGCCGCAGGGTGCACAGGCCGAGGGCGCGGGGGCCTGCTCAGGCTCTGGTCAGGGAAACGTCGGGAACCTAGACGCGAGCACAACGGGGATGGGCGTTTCTGCGCTGGGACCAGAGGGTTGGGGGACCTCGGAGGAAAAGAGCCCCCCTCTAGCGAGAGGACTGCGAAAAGCCGGGCTGAGTCCTCCTTGGGGGTGAGAAGGAGTGTTGGCCCTGCTGGGAGGCAGATCCAAATTTAGGGGCGAGGACGAGGAAGGCAGGGAGCGCGCGCCCCCAGCCCCGCCCGGCCTGTCCCGGGAAAGGTCGCCTTGGGCTTGCTGGGCGAAGGACTAAAGGCCACACCTGGCCGCTTCCAGAGGGAGAACCTAGGCGCACATTTGCTAATTGGGGGCTGGTACGGCAGGGGCGGTGAGTCTAAGGATGCGCAGGATCTCGGCCGCGGCCTCAGGACCCTGGGGGACGGCGCGCTTCTCCGGGATGGTGGGTGGAATGGGCCCGAGGCGTGCTGGCCGGGGCCACCAGCAACTCAGAGAGGGGGCTTGAGGTTCGAGACGAGGGCGGACGCAGGGCGGCTCGCTGGCTGAACCCGCCTGACTCCGAGGGCTTGGCGCGCCGCCGCCGCCGCCACCGCGCGGTTGCCCGCAAGGGCTGAAGGCGGGGTTTGGAGGAGGATGCAGAGGTGACTGAGCAGAGGCTCCTCGAGGGTGGGACTCAGCGAGGCGGAGGAGGCTGGGGAGGGTTCTAGGGGTGGCGCATCTTCCGACTGCAGCGACGCCAGGCTGGCAGCTGCTCAATTCGGCGGAGGCATTGATGTCTCGGGCCCTGGCTTGGTTTTCCACCCCGTCCAAGAGCCCAGAGTCCAGACACCTGCGCGCCAGCCCAGAATCCCCGCCTTGCAGTCCCGGTGGCTCCTCCACCCAGTCTCCAGCCCAAAGCCATTCCCGGAAGGTGGCAGGGAACCGTGCCAGGGTGGGAAAGGACCCAGCATGGAGCGGAAGTGGTGTTCTGAACCCTCGGACTAGGCGGATTCGGTGAGGTCGGGAGCTAGGCAGGGCCAGGCCTATCTCTGCTAAGGACCTAAAGTGCTTCCTCCAGCTCCCCACCTGCAGACTTCTGCAAATACAGCCCAACTGCTGGGCCCTGGTGCCGAAGCTGCCTGCCATTGCCCTTGCAAAGGTGGTGAACTTCAGTTACAAGCAGCCTGGGCCCAGGGAGATGACTGACGGTGATGGTAATAACAGTAAATGCCTCTGTGGCGCTTACTGTGTGCCAGGCACTGTTCCTAGTGCTTTACCTGTATTCACGCGTTTCATTCTCACCACTCTCACAGGTGGGTACCGTTTTTATCATCCTGTTTCAGAGGTGAAGAAACTGAGGCTCAGAGAGGTTCAATACAAATGCATGGCTACATAGCCAAGCTGGAGCTATTTACCACCACGAGTACTGCTTCAGTGGGGACCTGTGAATGTGGGTGCTTCCCAGCCAGGCTGTAATCTCTTTGGGCTTTTCCTCCAACTCCCTCCATCCCTGTCTCACCCCCTTCCTCAGCCCTCCTGTGACTTCAGCCATCTCCAGGAATAAGGATGTGGTATCCAGCCCAGATATTCTTTCTGAGCACTAGATATGTACATGCAACTTATCAGATTCCTCAAGGCCAAGAGCAAGTGGTCCTCCTCCTCCCAGCCCTGCTCCTCCACCTGTCCTAAATCTCGATTGTCTGCCCCATGTCCACACGCCCTCACAATCCTCTGCAACATCTCCTTTACTGCCCATACTAAATAGGCCCAGAGGCCTGAGCTTCTGAATATCTCCTCTCTGTTCTTCCTAGACCACTCCATGCCAGGAGGCAGGCCAGGGCCTATCACTCACCTCTGCAGGAGTCTCTCCCCTCTGGTCAACCCCTTCTGTACTGCCAGCTGTCACAGAGCACACAGACCAGATCCTACCTCCCCTTTGTTCAGTGACCTTGGATGAGACCTGCCACTTCATGCCTGGCATGGCAGAGCCAAGCACAGCTTGGCCTCAATCACTTCTCACCAGTCTCCCTAATCTACGTCAGGCAGTCTCACCTCCCAGCCTCTGCACTGCTGTCCCATCTACCTAAATGTCCTTCCACCAGAAGCAGTTCTACCTGACCCTAAAGAAAGGCCCAGCTAAAACACCACCTTCTCTGTGAGTCCTCTGCTCCTACCCAAATGAGAACAAACACCCTTCTTCCCCAGAGTCCTACAACATTATATGCCTAGTAATGATGATGGTAGCAACTGCTATCACCATGTGCCAGGTACTGTTCTAAGTCTACACATAATACCTTAGTTAACCCTCGCAAGTCTATAAAGTAGGTACTGTTTGTATTACCATTCTACAGGTAAGGAAATTGAGACACAGAGAGAAGTTGAGCAATGTGCCCAGGATTGTGCAGCTGCACTGCCTCCTTTATGCCCAAAGTGGCATTGACTCCATCATATTAGAGTTAATTAGGTTTACCTGAGGGCTGCGGTCATGTCTCTTGTGGTCATGTCCCCTAAAGCACCATGAATCATGCCTGACCTAGTGTTTGTTGCAGAAATGGGAGTAAGCAGGGGAGAAAATGAGTGGTTGGTTTCCTGGGACTCCATCCTGACCTAGGCCCTGGGCAAAGCGTGGGAAAGAAGCTGTCCCCATGGTAGCTGATGGTACCTGGCAAGCCCTTAGTTAGAGGAGTAGAGTCTCCTTACCCTGGTGGGCTGGGATTGAAGAGTAATTGTGAGGGCTGTGTGTGTGTGTGTGTGTGTGTGTGTGTGTGTGTGTGTTATGGGGTGTAGGAAATCCATCACCCCACAGAGCCTGGTGATCACTGCAGCCTCTTCCCCAGGACATCATCCAAGCATACAAAAATGGTGCCAGCCTCCTCAGCAACACCACCAGCATGGGGCGCTGGGAGTTCGTGGGTTCCTTCTTCTTTTCTGTGTCTACCGTTACCACCATTGGTAAGGGCGGGATGGGGTTGGGGGAATGGGGTGGGGAAGGAGGCAGCTCTCTGAGAGGCAGCAGGCTGGTTGCCTTTTGGAGGGGTTACCTAGAGCCTCATGACTCCAAGTGCAGTCCAGCTCTGTGGCATGTACATCACCTGGGAGCAGGCTGGGGCTTCACTGCAGACCTGCTGACTCAGCCTCTGCATCTCATCCAGGTCCCCAGGGGATTCATATGCACTGCTGGAGTTCGACAAACACTGCTCTAGGGGATTTCTGCCCCACATGGCCTTTCAGGAAATAGAGGTCTCCCAGTACAGTGAGAAACATGTCTCTGGGCACTGCAAGGGTCCCAGCCTCCTCAGCGGAGCCCACCCAACATTGAGCCCTGGGGGTCGTGGTCAGGAGAAGTGGCGGGGCCGGGGGGATATTAGGAAGGAAGAAGGAGTAGAAATCCAAAGAAAGGGCAGGGTGCTGTGGCTCAAGCCTGTAATCCCAGCACTTTTGGAGGCTGAGGTGGGCGGATCACCTGAGGTTGGGGGTTCGAGACCAGCTTGACCAACACGGAGAAACCCTGTCTCTACTAAAAATACAAAATTAGCCAGGTGTGGTGGCGCATGCCTGTGATCCCACTAGTCGGGAGGCTGAGGCAGGAGAATCGCTTGAACCTGGGAGGCGGAGACTGTGGTGAACCAAGACCACACCATTGCACTCTAGCCTGGGCAACAAGAGTGAAACTCCTTCTCAAAAAAAAAAAGAAAAAGAAATCCAGTGAAAGAGCTTTAGATCTCCCTGTTTCTCGGCCCTGGGGGAGATGGCCATTCTCTCTATCTCCCTGTCTCCAGACCCCATTCCCACAGGCCTCTCTTCAGCTTGCACTCCCATCGTCATGCTCCCCACACACAGGGACACCTGGGCTAACCCTGCCCTGCAGAAGAGCTGAGGTAGAGTTTGTTTGAAGAGGGTGCGGAGGGGCTGTTGTGCAGAGAAGGAGAAGAGCAGGCTAGATCCCTGAAGCTCTGAAACCCGGGAAATTATGCACGTTGGGCCACCCAGATCCTTCTGCCCTAGCCCCTGCATGACACAGAACATGCCACCAGGTGGCAGGCTGATATCACCCGTGACTTGGGCTATGGCCTCCCAGCTCCCGGCCAGCCAGGATCCTCTCTCCAGGACACCAGTATCCCAGCCTCCCTGCAGGGTGGGGTAAGGCAAGAACATCCAGAGGATTCTCCATCTAGTTTTAAATTGTCCAGTACTTCTTGGAGGCAGACCTCAGGGCTACACGGAAGCTTGGGCAATCCCTGAGACAGGCATGCTTGGGAGGCACCTCAGATTCCATGGGCCTTGAGCCCCTGAAGGACTGGCAGGATGGGCTGATTCATCGTTT